TACATTTTGTCTCAAGGCCTACCCATCCCCACCATGACCCGATCCCTCCAAGTTCTTCTTCAAGTGCTATGAAATTCGTGACAAACAGACAGACAGACAGACAGACACACACACACACAGATCAGACAGGCAGACAGACAGACCAGACAAGACAGACACACACACACACACACACACACACACGGGCATAGCCGATCATATAATGGGAAAGTACAACTGATGCTTAAAGACAATTCCCGCGATCAAGTGTTACGGGTAGCACGCTCTCAGTACTGAACTAGTCGCCCACGAGTAACTCTCCAATAGAGACAGAAGCGAAAAAAAATCTAGGAACACTCTGAACGGAGACCCCCCTGTGAGGCCTGGAGTACGCGGCTGCACCGGCTGCAAATTCACGCTTCTCTATATTCTTTATCTCGCTGTCCAGGTGCGACCCTCGATGAATCTTGGCATACTTTGAAGTTCTTTATAGGGTACTGCTGTAGCCGTGACCAAGATGATATAATAGTTTTATTGGCTAACGTTCGGCCTTATCGCCTTCGTCAGAGCCTGGAAAAAAGTCAAAAATCAAAATGAAACTACCCTCGGAAATCATTTCAAACCTCAGATAAGCTAGTCCCAGACCAGAAGGATACAGAAACCTGTCATAGGTCACAACCACAAAATGACTCACCTTAAATGTACGGCCGGTTTTTGCTTGAGACCACCGCTAAACTGACTCCTCGTGAGTGGCTTCAGCTGACCAGGCCCCTCGACTCGCAGCCGATGGCAATTGTAGCCCACACAGGTGAGCAAACGGGGCGAGTTCGTTTGTGACGGCTAGGCATTCGTCCTTTCTGTTCATTTTGGGATTTTTAGCGCCAATCCAAAATGCTTCCAAAGTTTTGCCCGCCGAAGTCTGTGGTTCTCGATCAAAATCCTAACCGTCACCTCAAACTCCACGCCTCCATGGCACTGAACCCGATGACTTCCCGGGGGGGGGTCTCTTGCCTAGATCGCCTTAGACCATCTATGTGCTCCTTTACCCTGGAGCACAGGGTTGTCCAGTCTCCCCGATGTACTCATCCCACAACTCGTGCATGACAGGTAGATCACACCTGAGGCCATGCAGTCCCCCTCCCGCCCAGAGGGACATGTGACACAATGTGGGGTTAGGCAGTAGCGATCATACCCGCGGTTGCGGATCAGCTGCTGCTTGAAGTTCGCAGGAGGGATCTCGACCAACCAAACCATATTTTCGAGACCACATCTGCGCAAAGACGATCTCACAGCAGCGCTGATCGCATTACTTACGAAGGGTAAGCAAAATGGTACCTTCTCCCAACCCTCGGTCACAGGAGTTTGTTGGCTCCTAGTGGGTGGTCCGGGGGGCATTTGCCTTTTAGGGGGTAGCCATTGGAGAAGGTCATTTTCCGAGCTGACTCTAGGGACTCCTCTCTTTCCTTCTCACCTGATGAGACCGTTTTGGCTGTTCTGAAAATGTTCCAGTTGATAGCCCGTTTGGTCCCCAGAGGATGCTCAGAAAGTGTCTGTCTAAAGAGCTGTGTTGTCAACGGTTTCTGCCGAATTGTCTATGGAGGAAGATCGTGGGTGAGTCAAAGATCATTTGTGATTCAATCCGTTCGAAGGTCAAAGTAAAACTTCAGGTTAAGTTCGGTAGGCTAGCAAATCTAGAGAAACGTCATTTATCGCAACCACAGCTCACCACTCGCACTTGTTTGGACCACCCACAGACTGACCACGGGGAAACAACGGGATCTGTTCCATAGAGTCACTGTGGTTGGCCGCGTGAGTCTTTCCGACAACGCGCTTTCCGTTCTAGATCTCGGTCCTAGTTTTGCACCGAGCCAATCAATAAGTCATACTGTATCGCAAAAAATCCCAGGGGCCCTACAAACTCTTCAGTACAGCCTACGCCTCTTAGTCAAACGGCTAGAACAGGGTCAACAATCTGCTACTCGGTCCGATCTCTCTATAATTCCTTTCCCTTCTCTTTTCTTCAAACCACAAGACCCAATCCTTCAGTGGATGTGAAATTCCAGCTTTTCGCGACTTCAGTTTTTTCTATAATTACTCGTGGAAGAACCAAAACGGTTGCCTTCCAACCTCACTACGGCGCAAAGACGAGGACTGAAAGAATTGAGGGATCTCACTCTCTCTGGTCGCATAAAAATATCTGTCAGCGATAAGGGAGGTGAGTTTGTCGTATTGAGATCTCGATATGGCCATAACAAGATCGCACCTCCAGGATGAAAGTCTCTACCGTCCATCATCCGAGGAGGAGAGGGTGTGGACTGACACAGTGCGAGCTGTAGAGCTCCCGAGGACAGTGGGCACACGACTGAAATGTGATCTACCAACCTGTCCAGTTCTCTATGTTCTCCTTAAAACACACAAGCTCTCGCAGACCACCCTGCCCTCAACTAATCCCTCAAATTTCCACGTGCGCCCGATGATAAATGGGGTAGGAGGTCCCACTGACAGGATTTCATGGCTGTTGAACCTTGTGCTGGTGCAGCTGCTACAATTCATCCCTGTCCACCTCAGTAACACTGCCCATTTGCTCGACTCGTTGCGGGAGGCAGTTTCAGACGGAACCATGTGATGGAATCGTTTGACGTAACATCCCACTACACAAACGTGCCAAACGAAGGAGCCATGCAGGCCACCTATGAACTCCTTAGTGAGCACGGGGCGTCGATCAACATGTATGGCCTGTCGACAGCCCACATAATGACACTTGTTAAAGAGTGTCTCGATTGTTCCATTTTTAGGTGGGCCGGTTAATACTACAGGCAGCTCAGAGGATTGGCCATGGGTCAGCGGCTGGCACCAGTCCTAGCGATTGCCTACATGTCCAAGATGGAGAAACCGTTACTGGATCGCCGACCCATCATCTACAAACGCTATATAGACGACTGTCTCATCGTCTGCACCGCGGAGAGGGAAACGGACTCCTGCTTCGACCTCCTTAACAGCCAAGCTGAGAAGATTCGGCTTACGAGGGAGAAGCCTTCTAACAATTGGCTCTCATTCCTCAACGTGCAGATCCAGCTTGAGCGCGGGTTCTATCGGACCAAGTGCTACCGAAAACTCACCAGCAAGAACATCTTAGTTTATTTCCGGTCGGCGCATCCTCTGGGGTCCTAACGGGCTATCAACAGGAACATGTTCAGGACAGCCAAAATGGTCTCATCAGGTGAGAAGGAAAGAGGGGAGTCTCTGCAGTTAGCTCGGAAATGAACCCTCTCCAATGGCTACCCCCAAAAGGCAAATGCTCCCCTGGACCACCCACTAGGAGCCAACAAACTCCTGGACCGAGGGTTGGGGGAAGGTACCAATTTGCTTACCCTTCGTAAATGATGCGATCAGCGCTGCTGTTAGATCGTCTTTCCGCAGGTGTGGTCTCGAAAATATGGTCGAGATCCCTCCTGCGAGCCTCAAGCAGCAGCTGACCGCAACCGCGGGTATGATCGCTACTGCCCAACCCCACATTGTGTCACTGTCCCTCTGGGCGGGAGGGGGACTGCATGGCCTCAGGTGTGATCTACCTGTCATGCACGAGTTGTGGGATGAGTACATCGGGGAGACTGGACAATCCTGTGCTCCAGGGTAAAGGAGCACATAGATGGTCTAAGGCGATCTAGGCAAGAGACCCTCCCCCCTCCCCTGGAAGTCATCGGGTTCAGTGCCATGGAGGCGTGGAGTTTGGGGTGACGGTTAGGATTTTGATCGAGAACCACAGACCTCGGCGGGCAAAACTTTGGAAGCATTTTGGATTGGCGCTAAAAATCCCAAAAGGAACAGAAAGGACGAATGCCTAGCCGTCACAAACGAGCTCGCCCTGTTTGCTGACCTGTGTGGGCTCCAACTGCCATCGGCTGCGAGTCGAGGGGCCAGGTCAGCTGAAGCCACCCACGGGAAGTCAGTTTAGCGGTGGTCTCAAGCAAAAACCGGCCGTACATTTAGGGTGAATCGTTCTGTGGTGTGTGACCTATGACAGGTTTCTGGATCCTTCTGGTCTGGGACTAGCTTATCTGAGGTTTGAAATGATTTCCGAGGGTAGTTTCACTTTGATTTTTGACTTTCTTCCAGGCTCTGACGAAGGCGATAAGACCGAAGCGTTAGTCGATAAAACCGTTATCTCGCTATTTCAAGTGACGAAAATACTATCTTTTCTGCGGGTGGCGACAACTGAGGGACCGGTGCACACAGGCATTTCGCTGATTATTTGATCGCGGGAAGTGTCTTCAAAGTTGGTGTGTAGGATTATTTATCGAAAGTATTTTGAACATATTTAAAGACACATTCCGCGAAAAAATAGGGCCATATCCTCTCAAATGTGTCGAATGGTCCTGAAGGCGATTTTCGAGGCTGGCGCTACTTTCAAAATGTGAAAAGCGGCAAGAACTCCGCTAGAAGCTGGCTAATTAGGCCCATGGACACCCTTTAGGCCCATGCCGACCCTCATCGGCTGCATGCTACTAGCTAGTAGCCACTATGTTATCTTTCTCTATAACATTTCGAACTGCTTTTATTGCTGCTTTTCTCCGCTAATCAATACTTAGCACTTTTTTGTGACTATTTGAGTTCCGTTTCCCGCAATTTGCGGTCGCGAACTGTGCCTTTAAAGGAGAATGTCACTTATTACGAGTTGGAAGGCCACTATATGAACGCGCCATTCGGCGTCATCGAGCTCGGTTATTCGGAAGCCAACCAAGCAGTAATTGATCAGATCTCTCAGAAGGTTCCTTTTTGCTACTTACTTGTTGCTAGACTTGTTTATATAATAAAGAAGACAGAATCATGCAATATATGGGAGTGACAGATGGAATCCGGAGGGAAGCAAACCGAGTGTAGCTTTAAGAGAGTACTTAGACGTTTGTTAAATGAACATATAAGGTGTTTTATGACGTTTTTAGATGAGAGATAAAAATTCTATTTATAGTTATTTGTCTACTTGAACCAGACCGACCCTTTCAACTTCTATGTGGACAAATTTGAGTGGGCTCGAGTTTTCAAACTGCCATGGTAATGTTTATGTAACAATAACTCGAACTTCCAGGACTCATGGCATCGTGGCGGGTATCCCTACGGCGGTTTTTCATGGATACCTCACCACACCGTCGTCACTTAGTCGAGAACAAATAATTACTCAAGTAACTGAGAGTGATGATCTAAAACTGTATTACCTGTCCAAAATCGGTAAGCTAACATTCTTTTGCTTTTGTAAACCTCAAGTAATAGTTGGGAAGGTGACGTTGCTTCTTCTCAGCAACATTAGGCAACTTTCAGAGTTCGCGACGGCAGCGCCTCGGCCGTGCCTCCGGCGCGATCGATACTCATGCTTCTAGCTGCATCGACCGCGTCCAACGCGCGACCGAAGCGCTGCCGTCGCGAAGTCTGAACGCTGCCTTATTTGGAATGGTGAATGGCTAAAAAGCGCTAGTAACATGCACAACCCGTGTGCATGTCGACACTGTACAGTGTCAAAGGTTCCCAAATTAGAAAAGTCACAGATTATTAATGATACTCGTTCACGATTGTGTTCGCTGCACGGGACACCAGGCAGAGAGGGGATTTGACGCAGCGCTCACACGTTCTCCTCCAACTGTGGGAGCTGCAAGCGACCACAGTTCATTTGGTGACACTATTTACCCTTTCCCGTCCCTCATTTCAGAATCAGGTCAAAATATCATTGAAAATTATCGAAGAGGGTAGATTAGGATGAAAAGTTGCTACCGGTTGTTCGACCTCTCAAACACGTGTATCGCATCCGCTTGGCAAGAACAAGTCTGACGCTCAATCCACAGGTGCCGACGCTAAAGCATGAATATCAAAACTCTAGATGGCTGAAGGCGTGTCAGAGGAAACGTTGGAAAAGAGGGTGAGCGAAGCGAATGAAGACGCTTTTTGCTTACCTGCACCCTTCCTCTACATGCAACCAGAGTTGGTGCTGCCTTGTATCACCGTGTGTTCATCATCCAGTAGTCGGACTGCACGAAAGGGGGTCTCTCTTCGCACTAGGGACTCCTAGGGCAAAGAGAGACTAAGGTGGCTACCCGCATTGCTTACCGAGTCTCCGTTTGGCTTGGTCGTGAGTAGGCACATCAATAATAAACGCTAGCGCGTTTGAATGGGGCTCTCTTTTTTGCCCCTGCACTGATTTTCCTACTTGGCCACAAATGTTCAATTTTCCATGATGCCCAGTTTAAGGTAGGCTGCCATCAACTTCTGTCGATGAAGAGCTACCAGCAGTCTACAACTGCAGCAATGGAGGTATATTGTTACCAAACACCACATGTGTTTGCCCGCCTTTTGTCTCCGGACCGCAATGCGATATCATCTCGTAAGCTTTCAAGATTTCGAATTCTGATTTGACCCTGAAAATTAGAGATATTAGTGCTAGGTTGATGCAGTGTCCGACGTGTTCAACTATTCACATTTTAGTTTGTGGTTAGAGTGGAGCTCTTTGGACCTAGGACATTACAGCGTACATTACAGTACATTCATTATCCCTTCGAACGAGAACACGTGTGAAGGGGCTTTCATTGAAGCACAGCCGGAACGCTTTTCCCCGCCACTCATCGCGAGCTCAGAAGGGCATCAGTTGGAGGAGACGGATCCTTGGCCGCGCTCCACTCCATTCCCCTTCACACGTCCTTCCGTTTGCAGGGATAATGACTGCTTATGAAATGGGAGCGTGTTGTGTCAAGGTGTTCACCTTTATTTCCAAGTCGGTCACAGAGTGGTGCTAACCAACTCCCATCCTTGAATTTTGTTTTCCTATTTCATTCAAGCTCTGCTAAAAATATACAGTGCATTTCACTATCCAATCGTGGCGTTACCACAGAATAAAACTGTGAGACCGGGAAGCTTCCCCTTTCTGCAGGTCGTTTCCTTACTGCATGGGGAATCATCATTGGTTGCAGTTTCTCGTTCAAGCTAATTCAGGTGTCAGAACTTTGGAATTTTGGACAAGGGCAGATGCACCTGCCCACCAGGCTTCTATGCGTTAAACTGTGAGGCAAGTGAGTATTCCTTTGATTTCTGCGAGTCAGTCCTGTACTTTCGATGCCGCTTGGTACGGGTTTGAGTAAATCTCACTTTAGGGGGGTGAGGGCATCAATATATGTAATTTAATGAAGTGTTAATGATACGGCAGTTTCAGTTACACGAACGATGTGACACGCGTCGAAATGATACCTACATTCATTTTCTATGCCAGCGTTACACGGAGTCGTTGATTCAATGTTGAGGACCACCCCTTGTCCCAAAATAATCTCCTATCGGCTAAAAACTCATTAGACGGGCCACGAGACGTTCATCGGTGACCAATCCACGGGAACAAAAAAAAATCGCGTATTAACCGTAAATTCATCTCTTGCGTGGTTATAGCACTCCTGAATACGAACTCAGAGAATACATTAGAAGGAAGAAACACCTAAAAGAAGTAGGTGAAAGAGTGAAGTTCTCCCGAGAGGTCAGGTCCTCTTCAATCCGAAAAAGACATTTTTCTCATAAAAGATGCCTCTCTACTCAACTTTAGAAATCACTTCTTTTTGATGGATGCTATTTGGTCAAACTTTTCAATTATCTTAAAATCAGAAGCTAGAAAAAGTTAGTCATACACTTAACTTTTCAATTGTATAACTTATAAGGGTCGAATTTTCCATAAAACAAAACTCCAAAACGGTTTCACAACGCCATCGAAATGGGAAACCCGTTAAACAACTGACCCACTCAAGAAAATTGCGATTCTATCTCTTCTCAATTTCAAAGTCCGTGTCAATGGACGCTTGGATTGGTGAAGGCCCCATCTTCAGTCCTCTTGTATATGCGAATTTACAAAATTAAACTGGCATCGCAACTCATCACATTGTTCGTATCATTGCACGATAGCACTCAACATAAGCACCCCTACCTGTCCCTATAACTGAATAGATATGAAATAGTCACTCAGTCTACAATAATTTCTTGTCCTGCTCAGGGGGCTGCTTGCCGAGTGTAGAGGCTAATTTGGACACATCTCGCCAGTCGTTCATCCTTGTACTCAGTTTGCGCTCTAGCATGGGCTACGATCTGCATCAGCTGATTGACCAGGTAACTGAAATGCTATCAGTAAAACATTTATTGAGCTATGTTCTTTTAGTTACCCATCTGGATAAGCGACATCGGCAAGGCTGCTCCTGGTTTGATCGACAATTACATTGTTACCACCTATTTACAGTATAGTGAGCATCTACAATATTAATGAAAATTTTGTCATACAGAATTCCCAGGAGTACTATAGGAAAGTTACTGGATGCTGTGTGTGGTGAGCCGTCAACCATGAACCCAGTCTCAGATACAGCTAGTATCGTCGCCAGTCGAGACTGAGCCAGGTAGCTGGAATGAGCCCATCCCGGCTGCTTTTCCACCTTTAGCGATTGGTTCAGGAGGAAAATAATCGGGGATAGAAAACGCCGTGGGTGGGCTTATCCTATGCCTTCTAACACATCCCCGACTGATTGCGAAGATATCAACTGTACAATCACATGGGCCGGAAGATAGATATCTATGACCCATGGTGACCACCGGATTACCCATTCGTGGGTATGCTACACCCTCATCTGCATGCAGTGCGTAACAAAATATGTGGACACCTCAAATTTTTTCCTGCAAATTGCCTTTGAGTTTTGCGATATGAGACCTTTACTGTTGAATTCCTCATGGGCGAAAACATAGGAATAACACTACTTCTAAATACTTTGTGGCTACAGAACAATTATTTATTGTTTTGAAAAAGTTTTTAATAACAAAAGTATGTGGACACTTTAGAAGTCCAAAGTTTTGCTCAAGATCTGCAATCCATTTTTATGGTCTCTAGTCTTCCATTAACTTGTACTCATACCTCGTCGTGGTAGTCCTCCTAGAAGGCGAACAAGCTTGGATTCGAGCTTCGTGCTGCAGGAACACTCGAATAGAGAAATTGCGAGATAGCCTGGAAATTTCGGCGACGTGCGTTTGGTATATGCGCTCCAGTAATCCTGATAGCTACCTCTCATAGCTATAGATAGCTGTTTCGAGGCACCCACGATCTTTGTCCGAAAAAAGACATCAGAAGAATAGCCTCACACCCCCGCTTTCTGTGGCACAGATCCATGTCGCGATGATCTACCGATCTCAAAAATGACAACATGGCGCTCTATTCGATCAAAGTCGAGCACATCACTCGAGAGACCATAAAGAAAGCTCCATGTCTGACTGCCAGGCAACCAGCTGGCAAAACTAAACTTTGCGCGTGCAAAAATGGCGACGTCGTGGACAAGTTGCAGTTTCTTGATATTTGTAAAATCCGAAAGGCGACCATCTATGCGCTTTTCTTTCTTAGGCATCTTCACTGATAAGAGAAAGTCAGTCTCGACGTCTAGATGATATCAGCATTACTGAAAAGACCTTTGTAGCGATCCGTTGGTTTCTCGAGACGTCGGAGCTTGCTTCCCATCGTGCTGTATGAATAGTGAGGAATACCAAGGAGTGCTTGCGTCCACCTCTCTCCTTTTCTAGGGGCCACGACGCAGGAAAACAAGTGATGCAGCGGACCGCCGCCCTGCATGTTTCAAATTCTACTAGAAAATGGCTCCAAACGCAATGGTATCAAAGTGATTGATTGGCCGGCATGTTCTCGTGTCTGCAACCCAACCGAAATCTGTGGGGAAATCATGTTTCGACGAATCTACATGAACACGGCAGTACAGACAGCGTGCGAGACTTGAAGGAGGCAGTAGTTGCTGCATGAGAGGAAATCGTTGAAGAACCATGAACAAATCTTGTCCACAGCATTGCCAGACGCAGATGTAGAAGTAAATAGTGAACACGGATTTTCAAAACAATAAATAATTGTTCTGTAGTCCACGAAGTGTTTAGAAGTAGTGTAATACTATGTTTTCGCTTATGAGGAATCAACCAATAAAGTCTCATATCGCAAAACATAATTAAGAGGAATTTACAGGACAAAATTTTGTGGTGTCCGCATACTTTTTTTTAGCTGTATATGCCGCGGCACCTTATGGAGTTCTTGAGAGCACTTGTAGAAGATTCTTTGCACAGGTGGTAGAAGACGTTGTTACCACCGTTAACATTACGAGTGCTTGACTCCCTAAGCCGCAGACTGCTCTTGGTCTTACCAAGGGAATGGTTTGAACTTCCCCATGGAACTTTGAACTGGAGACCTAGGTACAATCGATAGAGCCTCAAATGCTGATTACGAATATGCAGATTAAAAGTGCTACGGGGACCTCCCAGAAGAGATCTGGTTGGTCAAAGTTTTGAGTTGCTGGTCCGTAAAACGCTGATGATCGATGCTTCGGCAGTGCCACCGTGGCCTCGTGGTAATGGTATCACTTTCAAGTCAAACGCATGCGGGTTTGCATCCGGTTGGTGCGAAAATTTTTGCATGAGAGTTTCAACTCTAATTTTCGAAATTCTCCGAATTTACGGCCCAGCAGGGCAAGTAGGTCAAGTGCATCAAGTGTACAACGTACTCGATCTAGCATGGATTTGGTCATACCTGCCCTCTCTGAACATATTACCCATCCCACAATTCAAAGTTTTAGCGAGAAATTCGTTCATGAGAGATTTCGACCCCCTGAACACGAATATCGCATCCTTCGACGAAAAAAAAACGCTCGTCTGGCTAAATTGCGATTCTGGGCAAAACTTTGAATTGCCGGATGAGTAATATGTTCAGAGAGGGCAGATATGACCAAATCCATGCTAGATCAAGTGCGTTGTAAACTTGATGCACTTGATCTACTTGCCCTGCTGGGCCGTAAATTCGGGAGAATTTCGAAAAATAAAGTTGAAGCTCTCATACCGAGCGAAGCAAAGAGTTTCGCGCCAACCGGATGCAAGCCCGTGTGCGTGTGACTTGAAAGCGAAACCATTATCATGAGGCCACGCTGGCACTGCCGAGCCATCGATCAGCATTGCTTACGAGCCAGAACTCAAACTTTGACCACCCAGATCTCTTCTGGGAGGTCCCCGTAGCACTTTTAATCTGCATATTCGTAAGCATTCGAGGCTCTATCGATGTACCTAGGTCTCCGTTCGAAGTTCCATAAGTTCAAGCCATTCCCTTGTTAGTGGCAGTTCCACGTATCCTTCCCAATGCGTTGATTTCAGGTGCCGGTAGAGATGCATACCAGCATGCCAACAGACGGACTACGGCAAACTTAGTGAATCCCTAGTGAATTGTTAATATAATAGCGATGACAGAGTGTATATGCTTCAACAGCAAAGCATGATGTGGACTAGTGCCAATTAGAAACAAAGAAAAACAAACATTGGGGAAATGCATACACTCCACAGCACAGATGATCCGTTTCGCCCGGTGTCGTAGACGAATCATCGAAGTCTTACCAACCCCCCAGGCTCGTCAGTACGACAGGGTTGAAGACATGGACATAGACTACACAGGGGAAGGAGCTAAGAAATAGGACAAAAAGAGAAAACATGTAGAAAAAGCTCACGTGTAAAATTCATGCAATAAGAATGAGAAGGAATTGTGAAGTAAAAATGAGAGAATGTTATAACATTGAGTACTAAATACGTGTAAGAGGAAGAAAATTGGAATGGAGTAGATGGGCTAAACCAACTGAGGGAATGTT